AAAGTTTTTTACGACATAAATTGGCGATAAATTGGAAGTCAGACTTTCATTAATTAGCAACAAAAATGGCACCTTGAAGCAGGTTTTCATCCGTAATCAATATGCAATTTGCAAAGAAATGTTAATTTCCAGAGACGAGATTTGAGCTCAAGAAATTTCGGTAAAAGAATCAGCTTCTGCTAATTCAAAAAGCTGTACACACTATAACTGCAAGTGCTCCACGTCTAAATATAGCTGCAAAAAGAAGAGGTCTTTGTGTAATTCAAAGTGTCATCCTTGATTAAGTTATTTCAATAATTATTTCATACATTTACTTGGTTTTTCTAAAAACTTCTTCCATGTTTTTATCGAAAGAATAACCTATAAATTTTATTTTTTCTTTTAATTAAAAATTCTTTTGAACGTGTTTCGAACAATGTTGACATTCGCCAGTGACTGCTAGAAATAGTGATATTTGATGAATACATCGCACACACGCCAGGTACCTTGGCGAATGTTGACATTCACAGTGTATCCTGCCCATCACCTGTTTTCGGACTTTCACGGTAACATATTTACGGTATCGATTTTTTCTCTGTCGCGATCTTGAACACGAAGCCAAATTAACTTTCGCAAGTGCGATAAATTAAAATTAAACCGACCGCGAAGAAAGAGTGATACCAGAATTGTCGGAAAATTTATAATGGAGGCCGAGAACTTTCGCCGGCCCAACTTTGCATAAATTAACCGGGTGGATCATGGAGATATTGCGCATAAATAATCGCCCTTATTCGAATTTTAATATTGAAGCAGTGGTGTGGCTATTATCACTGCTTATTTTCCTAAAGGGTGCTTAATTACTAATTCGAGGTAACCGAGTAACCCTTAGAAACTGAAATTCGGAAACTATCATTGCAGTATATCCGAACTAGATACGATATAAATTTTAACCTGTTCGCCCTCTGAAATCTTATATTTTATAATTCCTTCTGTGTCAAATAGTTGCTGTCTCTTGTCAATTTCGATAAAATTCTAGTGAAAATTGGCTTTTCGGTCATTATGTTGAAGCGGAATCTGCTTCAACCTCGATCGCAATTAGATTCCAGTCAAAATCGGCTTTTCCGAGGCTGATTGTAACTCGAATGGCGTTAAAAATGCAAATATCAGCTTAAAACGTCTCTTCCTAGGTCAAATGGTAGCTTCAACTTTTTGATTTCGATCAGATACCAGTCAAAATCGATTTCACGGTCACTTATTTTACCACAATCTATATCAAAGTCGCAGAAATGTTCTTAAAACCCCCCTTTCTGTGTCAAATAATACCTGTTTCTTGTCTATTTCAAATAGATTCCAGTCAAAATCGACGGCACCAAACCTGCAGATATAAGCCTAAAACCTCACTTTCTGTGTCAAGCAGCACCTTTTCCTTTCCTTCTTGATGTCAAACTTGCTTTTTCGATGTATATTGTAACTAAAACGATATCGATCAGATTCCAGGCAAAATGCACACTTATTATCAAAAAAATCTTCATCAATCCTGCAGAAATCAACTTAAAATCTCCCTTTCTGAATCAGATTCCTCTCAAAATACCGATTTTGACTGGAATCTGATCACCGACACTTATTGTATCAAAATCTACATGAAACTTGCAGAAGTCAACTTAAACTTCCCTTTGTGTGTCAAATAATACCTATTTCTTGTCTATTGTAAACAAATTCCAGTCAAAATCGGCTCTTTAGAATCATATTGCAACTTAAACGGCATCAAACCTGCAGATATAAGCTTAGAACCTTACTTTCTGTGTCAAGTAGCACCTTTTCCTTCTTGAATTCAAATTCTAGTCAAAACTGGCATCGTATAACTGAAATGGCATCAAATCATCACCAGACATCAGTCTCAAACCTCACTTTGTGTGTCAAATAGTTGCTTCTTCTTTTCGATTTGGATCAGATTCCAGTCAAAATCGGTATCGACACTTATTGTACCAAAATGTACATTAAGCCTGTAGAAATAAACTTAAAACCTACCTTTCTGCCTGAAATAGCACGTTTTCCTTCTTGATGTGATATCAGTCAAAATTGGCTCTTTCGAAACATATTGTATTGTATCAAGTTAGAACTTCTTTTTCTGTGTCAAATAGCTTCTGGTTCTTAATTTCGATCAGATAAAAGTCAAAATAGGTTTTTCCGCCACTTATTGTTACAAGAACGGCATCCGAACTTCAGATATCAGTTTAAGAAATCACTTTCTGGGTCAAATAGTTGAATTTCTTTGTCGATAGGATTCCAGTCGAAGTAGGCTTTTCTGTCATGCACCGAAATATCTATTAAATTCGCATATATCATCTTACGATAGGTAATATAGCAATAGATATGAAGTTGAGACCAAACTTAATAGACAAAAATAATACATTCCAAATAATTAGGGACACTTTTATATCTTTTTATCTGCGAATGCACTATACGTAACTTGTCGACGAAAAGTTAATAACGCAAAATTTCCGATAAATACCGTTTTTCCTCCCAGCGGATCAATTATTGTTAAAAGTATTTTATGAATTTTATTAGTCGTTATACTACATTTTAATATCGTAAGGAATTCGCGATATTAATATATTTTTATCGACTTTCGTCGGCGCTGATAACAATTTAATGCTTCTGCCGTGTGCGAATGATTTCGATTTGCCTGACGAGCATTGATCGTTGAAAATTCGACAATTGCTGCAGATGCATTTTCGGGTCAGTGATCGCAATTCTTTAAAAGTTGCGTTTGTGAAAAACTTTATTAAGGGTATTTCTACAAAATAACGACAAATATAACTATAATCATAACTCCACAGAAAATCACAGAACTAAATCAATTTTATTATATTTAATATTATTAATTTTGAAGTGAAAATGATATGATTTCACACAACACACATTAGACTACACAACACAAGTAAAATCCAACGATATGTCTTAGAGGTCATCTGAGGTCGAAAGTTGCTCTTATTACGCAAATTTCTCAGAAAAAGTCGATTTCAGCTCGAAGACACCGCAATCATATCGATAGATGTTTCATTTGTAAACGGCATTTTGATAGTTTTCACACGTTACGTGTATGTAGAGCAAATAGTAGTTACGCTACCCTGTATAAGTACAATTCTAATATTTATTTAAAAGCCGATCTTAGGTATTTAGGCTACTCGTCATATTCTGCCACAGCTTATAAGGGGTGTTTTTTTTCGATGTATACAACTTTAAGTTGCAATGAAACAACGATGGATTATTCGATTGACATGAATTTTATTTATCCGAAAGATAATCTTGTGGCCTTACATTTTAAATATGATTTCTGGCATATGACCGCCACGGCTGGCGCGGATGTGGTCCAATCTGGATGTCCAATTTTCTATGACTTTTTCCAACATTTGTGGCCGTATATCGGCAATAACACGGCGAATGTTGTCTTCCAAATGGTCAAGCGTTTGTGGCTTATCTGCATAGACCAATGACTTTACATAGCCCCACAGGGAGTAGTCTAGCGGTGTTAGATCACAAGATCTTGGAGGCCAATTCACAGGTCCAAAATGTGAAATTAGGCGGTCACCAAACGTGTCTTTCAGTAGATCGATTGTGGCACGAGCTGTGTGACATGTTGCGCCGTCTTGTTGAAACCACATCTCCTGGACGTCATTTTTATTCAATTCAGGAATGAAAGAGTCTATAGCTCTATACCGATCACCATTGACTGTAACGTTCTGGTCATCATCGTTTTTGAAGAAGTACGGACCAATGATTCCACCAGCCCATAAAACGCACCAAACAGTTAGTTTTTCTGGATGTAAAGGTGTTTCGACATACACTTGAGGATTAGCTTCGCTACAAATGCGTTTGTTTCTTGACGTAGCTATTCAACCAGAAGTGCACTTCATCGCTAAACAAAATTCACTTATGAAAATCCGGAACAACGGCAATCTCGTTTTGGGCCCATTCGACGAATCTACGCCTTACTTGATGATCGTTTGGCTTCAATTCTTGTACGAGTTGGATTTTGTAAGCACGTAAACCAAGATCCTTCCGCAAAATCATTCATAAAGTGGATGGACACAGATCCAATTCCTGTGCTCGATGGCGGATGGGCTCATTCGGGTCTTCCTCAATGCTACGCTCTACAGCAGCAATAGCTTCTTCTGTACGCACCGTACGGCGTCTCTGGGGATGCGAGTCATCAATAAGAGTAAACGTGGCGCGAAAACGTTCCATGGTTAATCGAATTAACTGCTCTGATGGACGATTTTGTCGAGGATAAAATGGACGTAGTGCGCGATACGTATTCCGCACAGAACCATTATTTTCGAAATAAAATTGCACTATTTGCAAGCATTGTTCAGGCGTGAGTCTAGTCATGATGAATTGGCAAACCAAACTGAGAATAAATCACTTGACAGCTGTTAAATCGGTCGTCACCTTGAACAGTAATGCCAACTTAAACGAAAAACACCCATTACTTGCCAATTATATGAAAAAATAAATAAGTGCAAATACAAAATATAACAGAGTTTTTTCTAATTATATGATTTTTTTTTCTTCGATATTTGAGGTTAGGAATAACATATCGAGCTACAGTTTGCACTTTTCATTTTGGTATCATTTCATTAGATTTTTTTGAAAAAAAATATAATAGTTATAGTTCTTTAGAGAATTTTTCAAGTTATTGTTATCAACTTACATTTGGTGTTCGATTTTTGTCGAGATTTACAAATTTCTTAACAAAATAACGTCTATAGCTTTTTCAGATTTTTTTATTCTAAAATATTTGCTTCGTGGTTGCTTGCGAAGTCGCTATTTTAAACCAAAAAGTTTATCGTTATAAAAACCAAAATTCGAAAATAGCTTGCAACAGGGATAAATTTCACAGCTTGGCAAAAACAAAATAAGCGATATCATCGATTCGAAATTACTAAACCCAGATAAACAAATCTCATGTTACTCTGTACAATGGCTTTTCCGGAATAAAGATAAATATATCTTCTCAGGTTATCCTTCCGCCACTGGTACTGAAAAACCAACACTTCGGAACGAGACGAGACCTTTTTTCGATGATGTCTCTAGAAGGGAAATCGAAGCCACAGAAGGCCAGACTCTCGTAATTCCATGCACAGTAAGGAACCTTTACAAGGACAAGGTGGTACGTATATTTCATTAGAGAAATAATTGTTAAGCAATTATAGTAAGGAAATATATAAAAAATACACTTTAAACTTCATTTCAAAAAGTAAGAGAGAGTATTGTCAGTGTTACTGTTTACAAATTCCCTAAATTTTCATATAGAATTAAAAATGTTTTAGAATTTTCAGTTAAAGGAAGACTACGCCATGCGTTTTTTTTTATCGATAATAACACATTGTATAGAAAAAGTCATTTTTGATGATGAAAGAAAAAAAAACAAAAAATGGTGCAGTGTAGTGTAGATAATCTTCTATACCATATAAAGTTTTTCTAATAAAAAGTATTTTACCATAATTTTTGAAAAGCTATTTGGCAAATTATTAAAAAGTAGGGATCCTATAATATGCGAGGGAAACTGAAATCCAATTTATATTTGAAAATATTTTTATTAATTGAATAATGTATATTAAAATTTAAAAAATATATATTACGATTTGAAAAAATTCACAATCACATTTTGGCAGAAGCAAAGACGATACAAATAAATAAAATAATTTAGTCTACAAAGCTAGGAGTTTTCTTGTTTTCCAGATTTTAATTGTCTTAGAACATTTTTTTGAGAGCTCAGTTTTGATATTTCCCATTTAAGATTTTCATCAATACATAAACCAAAAATGTATATTTTCATTGTCCAATTCAATTTTTAATTTATTTACCTCTTTAGTGCATGATGAATGCGCACAAGCGTCGTTTTGGGTGGGTCTAGGTAATGAAAATGATCACAGAACCAACTATCTTTGGTTAATCGTCTTATTTCAATCACTTTCTAAAACTGTATCAGAGTAATCTGTAATTAAAAACGAAATGTAGCATTGACATGTCAATTTTGAAATTTCTGTATCCGTACTTATTTTTTAAATGAAAAAGTAGTAGTATTTAAAATTGCATACAGTAAAAGCTCTTTATTCGTTGGGTATATGTTCCATAAATATACCGCGAATACAGAAACCGTGCATACGGAGTAGTAATTTATATTTGATTATAGGCAATACATTCTTACATGCCAATATACAAATATTGAACATTTTTATTAATTATTTTAAGGCTTAGGCAGTGGTTTGAGGGATTTTGTAATTTTCTCTGACTAGGCACTTTTTCAAATCTCCTTCAATTCAGACTGATACGTGCATACGGAATAGTAATTTATATTTGATTATAGACAATACGTTCTTACATGCCAATATACAAATATTGAACATTTTTATTAATTATTTTAAGGCTTAGGCAGTGGTTTGAGGGATTTTGTAATTTTCTCTTGCTAGCACTTTTTCAAATCTCCTTCAATTCAGACTGATACGCATTCGCGATCACAATTTTTGTAACGAATGTGAAAGACGATAGAATAAAACACGCAAAGCGACTTTTACCATAGAACGGAGCAGCAATATTTAAAAATATACTTTATTCATTGAGTAATGAGGTTGCTTAGATCCTCGATCATATCATTTAGCAACATACTTTGGGCAAATTTGTAATAAGATCTATTTTATCGGAAAACAAGAAATAAAATGATATAAATGTTGAAAATATTAGTTTTAGTTTGAAAGATTAACAAACATTGAAGTAACTAGAAAAAAACATGTTAAAAACTTATACTATTTTTCCATAAAACGCCTTTTATTAGCTTTTCTTTTATAACTCTTCTTTGGGCAATCTCTTTTTAAAGACCAGCAGTAATCTGCCATCATGCGACAATCCCAGTGATCCTGATACCGTTCTTCCATCACTTTTACATCCTGGTGGAACCGCTCTCCGTGTTCTTTACTATAATTCCCTAAATTATCCGGGAATTTATCTAGATGATTGCGAAGAAAGTGTAACTTGATATTCATATTTGCTCCTAGAATCTAAGAATTTTTCAGCATATTTTGCACAATTGCTTCATAACTGGGTGCTTTATGATTACCTAGGAAATTTCCGACTACCAATACAAAAAAGTCTTTCATCATTTGCCTTATTTGAGAACAATCAAATATTCCACGCTTCAACTTTTCCAGATTAAGCTCAGGAAATTTTCTGCAAATGTAATTAAAACAGTTTCCGTCCTTGCCTAATGCTTTTACAAATTACTTGTTCATTCCTAACTTAATATGTAATGGTGACCGAGTAAAAAATTAACCATGTTCCGAGTATTTAATTTTTTCTAAAACTAAATTTTCATTTTCATACTCCTCTTTGAGTTTTGTTGAATGGGCAACTCGAATAGATGCAAATTTATTACCATTGTGTAGTAAAACTCATTTCAAACTTCTTTTAGTACTGTCAATGAAAAGTCGCCACTCAGTAGGTTAGTATGCTGTTAAATCCATATCTAAAAGTAGCTTCGCGATATCATTACAGTACACCAGACGTTCATCTTCACTAAACTCTTTTTCTCTTGTCCTGTATGTCGTAATTGTCACTGTTGGGGCAAATAATTTTTTTTCTTTCAATCTTGAGGCTAATAATTCTGATCCTTGTTTTGATAAATAGAGATCACATATTACGTCATTGAGTTCATTTTGAGAAAATAACTTGGACGTGGGATGTTTAACCTTCCCATTCACTTCCACTTGTAGACTGTCCCGATTTCTGTGAATTTGTTAACATCATTTTTTCTGAGGGCATTCGAATTACTTTTGAAACGTAAATAGGCCTAGGAAGATTTTCACTGTGAAGTATAGGACCATTTTGTAGACTGTAAATCTCGATATCTCCAGGTTTGATTGCGATTGAAACCTTTAGCATCTATAACGCAAAAGTACCAATCATCAAAATGATTTGTAGGGTCCATCCAGATCATCGGAATACCAAAGTCTAATCCAGAACGTTCTCCTTTTTTCCATAACCGTAAAGACTACAAATTTTATGAGGAACCCATGGTTTTTCTAGTTTGTCCATTTTAATACCGAAATATTCAGTGAAAGCATCCTTAACAAAGTCTATAATGTTTCGTTGTTGTTTTTTTGTTAAATAAACACCGCAATTACAACTAAACAAATCAGTACTATATTTACCCTTTCTTCTTGACGAACTCATATTTTAAAAGACAAAACAAATATATATTTAAATATATATTCAGTAATTGAAACCAAATAGTAACTCATACGAACTTGTTTAGATTCACGTGTGCTTCGTATTGTCGAATAATTGTGATCTCAGCTGCTCTGCGGAACAAAGGGTGTAGATTGCTAAGAGTAGGGATCACGTGATGTTTGTATGCGCGAAAAAGTTGTGCAGAAGCCTAATCATGACTGATATAATCGATTTTTATGAATAAAAAGCTGATTATTGTTCAAATTATAACATTTGTGAAAATCATAAAAATAAGAACAGGTTCAGTGTTTTCGTATTTATGTATTCGTGATCTGGACACTTGAAAACATAAAAATTTTCACAGATATCCAGGGCAACAAAAAAATATTTTTTTTTAGAGCTGTGCTATTGCAAGATCAGCAAATATAATATATAAATAAAAACGCCAAGTCATTATTGGGTATTTTTATCAGTATACTTAAAAAAGAGCCCAATACGCTAAAATTAGTACATTACTAAAAGTAGCATCTTGTATGTACGAGAAACGGGAATAATTAAATTTTAGGTGTCTTGGATACGGACCAGAGACCTGCACATCCTCACTTCCGGCAGGCATACTTTCTCTAGCGACTTCCGTTTCGAAGCTTTGCATACGGACAGTTCCGGTGACTTCTGGGGTCTTAGGATAAGGGGTGTTAGACAATCGGATTCAGGTCAATACGAATGCCAAGTCAACACCGATCCCAAGATGAGTCTTGCCGTAAAATTATCTGTATCTGGTAAGTAGTATTGCCATTTTTTCTAAATTATTGATAACGATATGGACATCAAATATACAGTGTGTCTCAGTAGTGGTAACTAGGGACGCTATTAAGGAACCGGAAGAGCATAGTGTGTGAAAAAAACTTTCATCTTAAGAGAATATGCTGGAAATTATCATTTCTAGTCAAACGTCTTAACCGACAGTCCAAAACTAAATCTGTTTGAAAGTCGAACTATTTCCGATGATGTGTCATGCTCGAGCAGTACCGATCGATATCCCGAGACCAACCGAAGCGGAACAAGCCCCGCCCTCCACCAATCGGCATAAATACAACCTGCGCAGGAGAAATCGTCAGTCTACGTCCAACATCGGAGATGGAAGGACCTCTGAAGAAGCTCGCCACTCGTGCTAGCGAAACGTTAGGAAGTAATTCCAATCGACGACGGCCTTTAAACCCGAATGAAGATAATAGCTTATCAACGGGCCGCGAAAGCCTTAACCAATTTATTGTAATATAATTTTTTTTTTATAAATTTATGCACTCAACTCCCATGTTTGATAACATTTTCTGAGCTAAGCTGTTAATTAAAAAAAAGTATTTAAGCAAAACAATGGTCGTTTTTAGTAGGTAGGTTTCGAACCTACGCTGCGATAGAGAATCGCTTTAACCGACATTCCAAGACTAAATCTGTTTGAAAGTCGAACTTTTTATATACGAGCATTTCACTTTTAAGGATTTTGGGCACTTAATTCTTCAATTAACTATCATTCGTGCTATGTGTGATGCGATTACGTTTGCTTACCTGACTACTAAGTGACGTTTTCTAAATAATCGCAAAAAATAATTTTCCTAAAAAAGAATTTGCATTTATTCTTTTCCAATTATTCCACATTTGGCTGCTGAAATACATCAATAGTTAATAAAAGTAGTTAGTCGCCAATATTTAATTAGTGATTAAAATAAATTTTTAATGGGAAAGTAAATATTTGGAGAAAGCTAAGCGTGTCAAAACGTAATATTGTCAATTACGGGGTAATTGGGTAATGTATTGTAGGTAGTTGTAATATTGTATTAGTAGTATTAACGGCGTCAAGAGCGTTGGTTTTTGTAATAATAAGTTGTTAAAGGTTTAGAATATGAGTCATTGGGGGTCATTTAATACTCAGTGCTTAAGGAAAATAATATATATCCTCACAGAGGATTTGACCATTAGGTACTATTAGGCATGTTCGAGGTTAGGACGGACACTCCTTTTTTGTTATCGGTTTTTGTATAGCACGGTGAACTCTGAGTGACTTTTAAGCAAAGCAAAATTTTACATCCTCGGAATTGAAGTTAGGCTTAGGAATATTTACATCTGGCACAAACGTTTTAAATCAATCTCCAATTTTGTTTATTTGCACTGTATTTTCATTATTTTACTCTTATTTATATATATTCTTTAATTAAATTTAAACTTGTTTATTTATGCTTTTTACATAAGACGACTATCTATACTACAACCCAGCAGCCATTGTACAAATTGAAGGCAAACCAAACTCTAGAGTTGAACTGAGGTGGCTTTTACTTGATGAAAATCCACTTTACAAAATAAATAAGAACTAAAAGGTCAGATTTTCACGAAATTATATATATTCATATGCCAATTGTTTCAACAACACCGTGTCTTTGTCAAATGACATTTGATAAAAACACGGTGTGTTCGAAACAATTGTCATATGAATATAAATAATTTCGTGAAAATCTGAACTTTTATTTATTATTTATTTTGTTAAACTCAAGAGCTGCTCATTAAATATGGATTAAGACAAAGCTGTATCCTATCTCCAACTTTCTTCGACGTTAGGGAAGCCTTGGATGACTGACAAGAAGGTTCGCTGACAAAACGGCTATTCTTGCAGAGAACCTAGAAGACTTCCAAACAGTAATAAATCTAGTCAATGAAGCAAGTGATGGGAGGGGTCACAATATCAATAATACAAAACAAAAGTGGAAGGCAATTGGAAAAATAAAGTCATAAGTCCTTTACGATATGTTAGGTTTGTCCTGCTTTATGGTTGGGAGACATATACACCAAAGGCTCCAATTACAGAAATAGAGGACTTTGAACTGTGGTGTTATCCCCGTATTCTGAAAATATTAACGGGTGAGTCTCGCACACTTCAAATCAGGTCGTCCTCAGAATGATGCATAGCACTATAAAAGGGAGAAAATGCGGAATATTTGGGAGATGTAATTAGGGGACTCAAATATCAGCTAGTGACTACCTTACCGTTCATGCTGCAGCTGGTGAAGAAAGGTTCCAAAAAAAAACATTCATGTAAATAAAAGGGTCGTTTTTGGTATGATTAAACATTTTCCAGAAAATACTAAAATGTGACACCGAACTCAAAGTCGTCTATTTAAACGATACAATAATATTTGTTCGGATTCTGAGGGAGTTTTTCCAGTGAGCGTTTATACTACAACTTCGTTAAATTGGTTTCGGTTTCTAATTTGGAACCACTTAAAATTTTACCGCTCTCCGGCGTACAAACTTTAAAATGGTTTATTTTAAAACATTTAAAACACCATAAAGTGTACCTTGGCAAGCGAAAACTAAAGTTTAAGTAGTTTGGAAACATCTGGCTTGATTATTTGAATACAAACAACGAACGAATGCGGGAAAAGAATGTTTGTTTGGGAATAAACGGATATTGGGCTAACAGAACGTTCGGAAATATTTAGCAGTGAATGTCGATGACGGGATCGTTAATTGTCAAGAGCCATCGAAGGTTTACCCCTCAATTTCTCTCCCGTTTTTATATTTAAAAGGTTTGTTTTGCTACGACGTTATAATAATGCAAATTACAAATCCAACGTTGGTTCTCCTTTCTCGAATTGATCAGCTTTCTTTTCAACTCACTTTTTCCCTCTTGTAAGGAAGGTTCGACGTAGTTGCTTTGGGAACTACCAACCGGCTCATCACTGTCAGAAGAAATCAAGAAGCGCATTGTGAGGACGGAGACTGTTCCACCAAGGCTCTATGGACTACCTAAGATACACAAAGTAGATGTCCCGTTAAGACCAATAGTTAGCGCACCCGGATCACCAACGTATTACTTGGCTAAACACTTGACATCGCTGCTCCAACCACACGTAGGACACGTCACCAGTTACATCAAGGACTCCACCGACTTCGTGCGCAAGATTCAAGATATCAATATTGAACAAAACGACATCCTTGTGAGCTTCGACGTCGTCTCACTGTTTACCAAAGTACCTCTGAAGAGTTGCTTGAACCTGGTGAACAGGATATTTCCTGTCGATATTTGCAAACTTTTTGAAGACTGTCTGACCGGTAGCTATGTCGTGTGGAAGGGAAACTTCTACGAACAGGTGGACGGAATGACAATGGGAAGTCCATTAGGCCCGGTTATAGCCAACTTATTTATGGAACACTTTGAGGAAAAAGCGATCGAGACCTCAGAGTACAAGCCAGCAACGTGGTTCCGGTACGTGGATGACACCTTCGTGATTTGGAAACATGGTATGGACAAGCTCAACAACTTTCTGCAGCATCTCAACAGTCAGCATCCCAGCATCCAGTTTACTATGGAGACTGAAAATGACCAACAACTTGCATTTTTAGACGTAGTGAGGAAGCGAGGTAACAAGCTGGGTCACACAGTGTACAGAAAACCAACTCACACGGACAGATGCATGCATGCATGCTCATGCTGCATGCTCTAGCCAACCATCACCCAAGTCAAAAGTATGGGGTTATCAGAACCCTGAAAGAACGAGCCCGAAGGATTTGCGAACCGGAGAACCTCCAGATGGAACTTGAACACCTAAAAACTGCGGTTGAGGTAAATGGCTACAGCAAGAGGGAGATCAAGAGATCAATGAACTCAAGATCATCAGGATCACGGGATACCGAACAACGACCCTCCACTTCCCACGCGTATCTGCCGTATATTCCGAGTGTCACCGACAGGATTGGCAAAGTATTGAAAAGAAACGACATCAAAACAATCTTTAAGCCTACAAAGAAGATCCAGCAGACCATCAGGTCAGCGAAGGACAAGCCGCAGCAGTCTACCGCATTCCGTGTTCATGCGCAAAGGTCTACATCGGAACTACTAAGAGATCAATGGGAACGAGACTTAAGGAGCAAAAAGCAAGCTGCAGGCTAGGACAGACAGAGAAGTCTGCAGTAGCTGAACACGCACTGGGCAGCGGGGATCACAGGATACACTTTGAGAGCTGTAAGTTACTAGCATCGGTCAACGGCTATCACAACAGACTAGTCAGGGAAGCCATTGAGATACAAAAACACCCACACAATTTCAACAGAAAGGAGGAGACCCTTAGACTCAACCAAATCTGGAACCCGATCCTTAGGAACGCCCGAGCAGTACCGATCGATATCCCGAGACCAACCGAAGCGGAACAAGCCCCGCCCACCACCAAACGGCATAAATATAACCTGCGCAGGAGAAATCGTCAGTCTACGTCCAACATCGGAGATGGAAGGACCTCTGAAGAAGTTCGCCACTCGCGCTAGCGAAAGGTTAGGAAGTAATTCCAACCGACGACGGCCTTTAAACCCGAATCAAGATAATAGCTTATCAACGGGCCGCGAAAGCCTTAACCAAACTACTACTAATATTGATGCAGATCCACTTTATAATTTCTTAATATACAGTGTGTTTTATCAATGATTGTCAATATTTAAGGGTGCGATTTTGGGGTCTATTTTAAAAAGAAACCTTCATATGGCCTAAACGTCTTAAATTTTGAGATACAGAGTGGTAACCTTTAAAAAATAAAACATATTTTTTTAATATCTGTATACACCAGCGGCGGGCATACAGAATTTCACATGTCTATTTTGGCAGACATTGATGGTGGTACGCCCGTGATTTCTCTTAAAATAAAAATTATTGTTACAATCTTCAATTTAATTTCTTGATTTTTTCAGTCCGAAGTACGATTTTCGCTTAAAAAAAATAAAATCTCTTCTTTGCATTGTCATAACATTATCGTTAATAGGTATGACAGCATGCAGACAATTATAATCATTATTATTTCTTATCGTTGTAATAGGCTGTGTCTGTAAGAATGATCAATTCTGTAGTGAAGGTGGTTGTTTGACACTTGTTTGGCATCAGATTTTAAATTAATTTCTTCACGTCTTATTAATTTAGTGTTTAAAATATCCGAACATTGTTATTATAAAAAAAGGATGATACATTTACTAATGAGGATTTGATTATATCAAGAGCGTTTTCCTCATATCAGATAAACGGACATTTTCAAATGTATATAGAAGGTTGAGTAAAACAAGTACTTTGAGGACAAATAATTATTTATAAGGGGCCCATCGGACTGTAGCAACTCCAGAAACTAAAAAAGCAATTTTAAATTCTATTGATGGAAGTCCTGAAGTACTAGAAAATTTGGAAATAATCTAAATATCTCGCACGTCTTAGTTTGGAAAATTCTGCACTATTATATTCAAGGGTCAAAGCGTTACTTCCCAGAGATTTTCCTTTGCGTGTTCATTTTTCTCAATTGTTTCTAGACAAAGTTGCACATTATCCCTTGTTTGACCAAGAAGGTGGAAATGCAATCAGAAATTTCCACAATAACTATATTTGGGTCTGTGGAAACCCCTTTGCAGTTGTTGAATATAAACACCATGAACAGTTTACGATAAATGTTTGGGCTGGAATTGTTGGAAATTAATTAATTGACTACTTTATCCTGCCAGAAAGGCTAAATGGCCACAATTATCGCCGGTTTTTAGAAGAAGTGCCATATTTAACTAGGAATAGAATGTGGTTCATGCAAGATGGCGTGCCTGCTCACTTTAGTGTTGCAATAAGAGAATATTTAAATGACACATTTAATAAGTTATGGGTACGTCGCGGCGGACCTCAACCATGACCCCCTACGTCCCCAGATTTAAACAGTTCGTATTTTTTCTAATGGGGGCGATTTTCCACTTTCCCTTTCATTTGGAAAATAGTTTTTCAAATTTAAAACCATTGTTTTGGTATGCGTTTTGTTAAAATTTCCAAAGCCTCAAAACTACTAGCTTACCCATTTGTTTTTCAGGTCAAGAGAGTATTTTGTTCGAAGTGCGCAATTAAACAATATAAAAAATTAGCAAAAGAAAATTCCTTTGAATTTTGCAACTAAAATAAGCAAGTAGGTCAAGTTTGAAAAAACCAATAATCGGCTAGGTGGAAAATAAATTCGTTCCTATAGGAATTTTCTTGTCCTACTTCTTTAACTTGTTTGGAAAAATGTTCTCGGCTTTCCTGATAAAAACTGTAGGTTTAATTAGAAATCAGTAGATGATTTTCAGGAAATAAGCCAGCTCGATTGGCGGCAACAGAACATACCCCAAAGGATTTTGACTTAGTTATCGAACATTTGATTGCTTTTCCTTTTTTCGTTTAGTGTTACGAAATCGTGATTGAGTTTTGAAACAATAATTGTCTAATAAGCGATCTTAAAAAGTTACACACGCCGTCTAATAGTGTCTATAATATATATGGATTGAGTATTAGCAGCCCTGCACAAGAGAATAGAATATAAAAGAATATAGTGGATGTTCACTTCATCACCTCTCTTCTTCTAGGGCCTAACCTTTCTTCAATTCTATTTCTTGACCCTGGGTGCCCTTCACTCCTTCGCATCTTCGCATTTCACATTTCTTTAGAGTGGTTTCTTGAATTATAAATACAGGTACTTATGTTAAAATTACGACCTCACTGCACTCTCCATTCTCATGTTTTAATATTCACAAGGGAATATTAATTTTCAAACGAACAACATTCGACGTGATATTTCTACAATATCATATGACGCTTAATGATTTCATGAATAGGGAACTTGAACATTTTTTTAATTTATTTAATGCCACAAAACATAATATTTAAGTAGCAATAAATAATTCAAATTGTGACACCTTGCTATTCCTTTTAACCGACACAAACGCGCAGGAAAGACCATGACGTCATACCGCTGCTTTTCGGTCGATATGGTAACAAGAATTTTTGGTTCGTGTAAATTGTGTTTTTGTCATATGATAATAATATAAGCAACACAGAAACAATATTACAAATCGTGCCATCGTGTTTGAGTACTACCCTTAAAACGCCAGATAAACTTTTTATTAGTCTACCAGAAACTACAAGCCATCGTTTTTGTTAACATTATGTTCAGTTGTCACTTTAATTTTAACCGCGAAAACGTTTTTAACTCACCCATCCTATTGCAGTCTCCATAGGAATGGCTCCCTGATCTATATAATGTAAAGAACACTTCAAGTTATCAATTTTAATATACTTTAAAATCAGTATTTAGTTTTCCAGTAGTTTAAAAAAATCCTTTTAGCTTTTTTGGTTAAATAATTTACATTTTATTTGATATAACATTTGAATCTCAAAAGCTACCAAACTTTAAGCTGATTACAATACTATATTGATAAAAAAACTCAGCAGAAACTTTCGATGTATTGTGTGTAAGATGTCACCATGAACATATCCGCTGAAGGTAAATTATCAGATCGACCTTTTAAAAAATTGGTACCTTCGGCCTTTTTCAGAACTTTGTTTTTGATACTGAACACAAGATAACAGAAGCATGCGACAGGATGAAGATTAAAATTAAAATTAAAACCACGAAGACGAAAGCGTTGTCGTTATCTAATGGCTTCTCTATGCTACCGTCCGGCTGGCAAGTAGTTTAACAAGATTGTTTTGGAAAAATCGTCACTGGGCGGGACAAGTTCGTCGCAAGTAGCGCGAGTCAGCTTTTTTTTTTAAAAAAGAAGGCGCTTCGCTCCTGCGGCCACTATGGAACTTTCGCAAAATCGATGTTATTTTATTGTGAATACACCCTGTATAGAGTGTCCTTCACATCTCGTTGAACTTCGAAGTTACGCCAAACTTCAGTAAATATTAAAATTTGTACTGGTAATCGCGATTTAAAATGATATTTTATCAAATATCTCGCGCCCCCTGTATTATAGACGAAACCCTCAACTCTCTCTCGACACAGTTTACGATACTGTTTAAAGCAAATTATCACATCTTCAAAAGTTTTTCATTTATCGCCAAGAATTCACAAACAAAACCGGAAATTTCTAGGATTTATTAGAATTTTTTCCCACAAACGACGTACCCAGTATATCATCAAAAACAATGTTCGCAATATAGCCCTGGACCTCCTTAGTTTCCTGGTATAGAAATTTTTCCAATGGAATAAATAGTTTTCATGAAACTACATATTTTGTGAAGCCATTATTGAGGGCGAGAATTGGTGAATTTCATTCGGATTTTTTGAAATATCTCGAACAGCGTATGGAATAGACGAAAACCGTAATACAAAAATTATAGCCCTTGATACGGTCTATAACACTGGTTGAACGGATTAGATATTTTTTGTACGAATTTTGATATATGGTTAATAATTTACTCTCTAAAAGAACAATAAAGAACAATTTTCGGGCTCTTTTAGATTTTTGTCCATAACTAAACCAGCTTGTATATAATCGAAAAAATGCATGAAACAAAAGTTATAATGCCGGGTCTCCCACGTATTATGGTTGTAAAATTTTTCCGATCGGATGAATGGTTTTGGAGGAAAAGATGTTTTTCTGGATTCCAAAATAACCAAAAACAAAAAGTTCAAAAACTAAAAAAAAATACTTCGCGTTATTTTATTGCCCCCAGTTTAAAGAGTCTAAATGCGGGTCCAGACTTCTACTCCTCTCCCAACTCTAAAGTCGATAGATGCAAATTTGGGGCACTTATTATGTTTTTTAATATTGCACGGAATATTGCAAACACCCTGTACAATACTTAAAAACCTTCTGTCCGTCTATATGGGCTATATCGTCATGTAAAAGAAACTGACATCTAAAGCACAGATTTTAAATTATTGCCAATTTCCAATAATAGGGAGACCCATTTTTCAGATTTTTCGAATTTGTGGCGCACCCTTCATATTTTTGAAAAATTGTCAAGAATGAAAGTTCATGGAGCCGTATCCTCTGCGTCTCTTGGTTTAAGAATTTTTGCCGTCTTGTAAACGGTTTTTGAAAAATGGTCTTTTTTGTAGACCCTTGCACACGCGATTTTTATTTTTTTTTAAATACTTTCCAACCCCCCGCCCCCTATTTTCAATAGGTTTTGTCACATGGCAAAACTGCATATGTGTGGCAAATATGAAGCCGATTGCTTCAAATTTCGGATACTTATCGTGGAAAATCGCGAAAAAAAAGATGGATGCCGGCGTCGGATCGAATCCATTTCTTAGAAGCTTATGTATCACGTAGAGGGTTAAAAAGGAGACCAATTTCAATTTTGTAGCTCCAACGGTTTGAAAGGTATTCAGGAAAAACTGAAAAACGTTCGACGGTGATCATTTCTGTACCAACAGCGATTCCATAGGACCTAACGTTACCGAGATATAAAATTTTTATACGGACGCAGATTTTCAAAAGTAACAAGCGAATTGATGTTAGAACAGGCCACAGGCAATGACAGCGCGTTTCAAGGATTATTTAAATTTTTCAATTTTTCATTGCTTATATTTATTACTTACAACTAGAAAGTTCTCTTTTTTGTGAACTGTGGTTATTTTAATACTATAAACTTACTCCCCTATTGCAGGATATCGATGAAATATTTTTTAAATATTTCTTGTTGTTTCATCTGGTGATAATTTCTTCTGTAGTTCCAGGTACTCTAGATTCTGCAGACCTGTCAAAATGGCTCGGCAAAGCTGAAATCGCCGGTCCCAAAGAGGTCTTCGTTCAGTACGGATCTACATTTTTTCTGCAATGTAAAGTGCACCCGATTCTGGATCAGTCGTTTATCTTAGGACAGCAAGCAAACCGCAGGCCAGACGTGTGGTGGTTGCATGAAGACACTCAAATTTCCGTAGAGGTAATAGTTTCAATTGACCAACCAAAATACTGGCACAATTCCTAGTATTGATGATCTCGTTTTAATTTTAGGCACAAATAGGCAAGATTTTCATAGAAACCACATATAACGAAGAAGACGAGGTTATCAATAGTCGTCTCCATTTCTTCCACGTTTCCTGGCAGGACGAAGGTGCGTACACCTGTATGAGACCTTCTGTAAAAAGGGATTCCGTCCGAATAATCGTCGTCGAAGGTAAATGTTATGTAAATGTAAGAGTACAGTGCATTGCGAACTTTCTATCCCTAATGGGCAATCTTAAAAAGGATTTTATGAGAAACGTTTCGCAATTTTATTAGTAAAAGAACATATCAAACGAATATGTACATACGGAGAACAAAACATTCACCGATAAACAAACCCTTTACTCCATGGATTACTGAAAATATTAAATTTTGTAATGAAGTTTATATAACTTATTTTAATACATTTTCACATAAAAAGCTCAAGAATTCACTAGTTTTCATAGTAAATGATATCAGGTATGAGGAACAGGAAAATGGTACTTGTTGATTTGAGTAAAGCGTTTGACACTTTGAGTCTTAATCTATTATTTGCAAAATTGAAGTATTTTGAATTCTCAAGTAATTCCTTAAATCTTATGAAAGACATTCGAGCAGGTAGATACAGTCGAGTTGGAACAACAACGAAGTGTTTGAAACAAACTTCCAAATTCGAGATGATTAAGCCAGTATTTTAACCTCTTCTCTTCTCTTTTATTTATGTGTGTCTGCTATGAATCAGATTGTACCACATTCTAAGCTTAAATAGTTTGCCGACGATTCCGAACTTCATTTACCAATCAGTATCCAATCCATTGTAGAAGTTCAACAAAAACTTAACGCAGATCCTAACAACTTGCGTTTGAATACAACATACCTTACCGTAGTCATATGTCTCCTTTTCTTAACGGAAACTTACTAATCAAATGAGGCAATTAGGGCTATCTGCGTACACAAAATTAATAAAATCTAAATTACTTACAGAACAAAATCACCTCTTAGAATAATTAATTTAAATATTCAATAGCTATTTTTATTTATCTTTGGTGTTATGTTTAAACTCCTATAGCAACTTCATTGTCAATTTAGGTTTGGGTCTCCTTTTTCTCAGATTATTCTCCATGGTGTAAACTCCCGTTCAGCCATGTTTCAAGCAGTTAAAAATTGAGTTTGAGCTGAGCAGCTGACTATTTTTTCTAATTACTTTTCTTTTTCAATTAATAGCTATGCCACATAGTAGCGCGCTTCTAGGTTCGATGCTATTGTAGACTCTAGGGCTTTCTCGCTAAAATTTTTCTTTTAGAAAAGTGAACGGTTATTAGAATCGAGAGCGGGTCCTTTTTGGTCAAAATTTGATTTGTGATGTAATTCATGAAATTCTGTTCTTTTCTTTTTGACAAATAAAGAATATGGTATTATTATTATTATTATTATTATTATTATTATGTTCCGTAATCCAGGCTTGGAAGAGTTTATCTTTGTTTTTTATATTTTTAAAGGGAGCATGAATTTCAGTTTCCTTGTCAGACAATCGGCTTTCATGTTACATAACATTAACTAATCGTATTTTATGATTTAAGCTGAACCGTCTGAAGCCATGCAGAGGGACTACCCCATATCTTCAACCTCCGTAAATCGCTGTGCCTGCACGATGATGAAGATTTTTCCCCTTCTGCTGGGAAGCATTTCATTACGGTATTACTAGAAGACTGATAATTATAACATGCCATGTACATAATATTGTAAATAAATATTTTATTTTTGTGTATGCGGTTTTTGTACACCCATCATTGTATCGTATTCGTATCGGCCTCTATTGCTTCAATATAACGGTGCAGCAATTTAACCTTTGTTCAAAATCGCGCCCTTAAAATTCTTGAATTTAAAGTCAAATTGCCAATTCTTTTTCTTCAATAGGAATAATAATAATAATAATAATAATAATAATAATAATAATATTAACAATATTAATAACAATACAACAATGTTCCCAAAAAGTGGAGATCGGGACAACCCAAAGAACTCTCGCCTGATAACTGGCTCACCGACGTTGTATAAGATATTTACGTCAATAATCGCTCAGAACGTTGAAAAACATGTAACTGAAAATGAAATCCTAGCAGCTGAACAGCTTGGTTGTAAGAAAAGTACCCAAGGCACAAAAGAACTGCTTATCACTGACGCAGTGATTACAAACCAAGCTAGAACCAAGCAGAGAAACCTATCGGTCGCCTGGGTAGATTACAAAAAAGCGTTCTACTCGGTGCCACATAGCTGGCTGACAAGTGTTCTTGGCATTGACAGCCAAACTACTCCAACACACGATAGGCAAATGGAAAACAAGATTAAGAGTTCGCAATCAACAGCAAGAATATCTAATCCAGCACCTACAAATAAAAAGGAGAATTTTCCAGGGCGATAGCATGAGTCCACTCAGGCTTTGTCTAGCCCTGAACCCACTTAGTTCTCATGTATTGTACGACCTTAAATTTTATGGAAGCAACAACGAGCAACTTCACAATCAGATGGAAATTGTGACCGACTTTAGCAGGACTATAGCGATGGAGTTTGGACTGGTCAACTGTGCTCTTCTTCACATAAAGAGAGGATTCCCGGTTGCGGAAGAGACAATGAAGCTCATGGATGGAGTCGAAATAAACCACCTACCAGCGGAAGAAAATTATAAGTATCTTGGACTATAGCAAGCATTGAGCATCAAAACAAAACTGATGAAGGAAAATATGAAAACGGAGTTCATAGGGAGACTTCAACTCGTACTGAAAAGAGAACTCAATGCAAAAAATACTTCCTCCGCTATTAATTCCTGGGCGATGCCAGTTGTGGAGTTCACATTTGCAGGACCAGGTTGCGCCTACAAGGTACTATATCTGACTTGTCCTGAAGCAAAACATCCCAAGAGATTTGCGCAAAGTGTGCCAAACCATACCAAACCTGAAACCATATAGCATAGTATCGGCACATATAGCGAAATTTCTCCAAAAAAATACTTGAACGGTCATAATGACATGGCGAAAATCGTACATAGTAACATCTGCTACAAAAATAATTTGATGAAGGATATTTTGTCGTATTACAAGTACAACCCAAACCCAGTGATAGAAAATGGTTCCGCCAAAGTTTACTGGGATAGAATGATCGTACCTGATAGACAAATACAGCATAACAAATAGGACATTCTGTATATAAACAAAAATGAAAAATTGGCCTTTATCATAGATTTTGCTGTACCAGCAGAAAACAACATATAGAAAGCATACTCTGAAAAAATTACAAAATATCACGATCTTTTATATGAGCTAAAAAGGACCTACTCACTTCAAACAATCGAAGTCTTACCACTAATTATTTCGGCGACTGGCCTTGTTGAAAAGCGCCTAGTACACTAGGAACCCCCCCACCCCCTGCCAAGGTGATCCGATAATAATAATAATAATAATAATAATAATAATAATAATAATAATAATAATAATAATAATAATAATAATAATAATAATAATAATAATAATAATATTAATAATAATAATACATTTGTTATCCATATAGAAAAATGTTTTAAATTTTTTTATAGGAATTGTCAAACAAAAAAGAAATTTACAAGAACAATTACAATCAAATACCACATAATCAAAAGGTTATATAAAAAAACTGTTTATAGTGTACATGAATTTTTGCAGTATATGCTAATTTAATCTTATTTTAAAAGTTGTTAAAAAGTTACATCAGGAAGGCGATTAAAGACTTGCATCCCCAGTATACAGGGTGGTCTAGACTAGGCTATATTTGGCAAAAGGTATATGGATTTTGTTCTGCTGTCTGTTGTGAAAAGAAAAAATAGATTTATTTTGAGTATTTGAGAGTATTTATAAAATAAATTCTTACATGAATGAGAGCTAAGTACCCCAGCAATACAACAATTAAACACTGATGGGATTATCTAGTTAGTATACTTACTTCGTTTTGTAAAGTCTTACTGCGTAGAAAGGATTTTTTCCGCCTAAAACATGGCATGTATTATTATTAATAAAAATAAAAATAAAAGGAATACAAAACAAAATTTTAAAATATGTATGTTTTATTTTTCGTGCCTTTTTGAGACACCCTGTATATTTTAAAATAATTTCAAATTGTGCATCCTAACAATCGTCACTATTTCTGTATTTACCTTTTTTTTACCTAAAGCAGGGGCACGAACATTCTCCCGGATAAATGCTTTTCATATTGATAAAAAGATTGTAATAAATTTTGAGCGTTTTTTGAGTTTTCCGGAGTTATTTACTGCCGGGTCGGGACGCGAAGGGTATTTTCGTGTTGAGGAACTCGAGAGCTATCGGGACCCGTAGAAAGACCTCTCTTAAAATTGAGGAGGTTTTGAGGTACGTAAGGAACTCGTCTCCTATGGGACATTGACGCACCTATACTCAGACGCTTTTATGAATCTCCTATACCCCGCCTGTTTTTTTTTGAAGGTGCCTCCTCGAAGTTCAAAAAGTTTACCTTCTCGGAGGTTTAACGGCCGAATTGGTTCGAAACAGCTATAGGGAGGTTTTTGGGACAAAAACATCGAATCCGCGGCCAAAAATTAAAAAAAAAAGTATTCATAAATTAGCAAAATAATTATAAAATTGTAATAAGACTGACTTATTGTTAGAACTCAAGCAGTTGCACTCGTAAATCTTGAAATCTTCAATGAGGATTTACTCACTTACAGATGGAGGAAACCTTGTCACGTCAATCCCGGATGCTTTTTCGGTTACCCAGTAGAAATCGCGAATCGGCATCAACCCTCCAACCATAAAAACGATAAATCAGGGAGAAAATAAACTTTTGGGATTAGCGGGGTTAATTTCGGGACGTTATTAATTAAGGGCGCGGCGCGTCACTTCCAAATCTCGAAATTTAATTTGCTTTGGAGATGCGCACATCCATTGTTATCCCCATTATTCCCGTTTGCGATGCGGTTCCTGTGCCGCTGCGTCGCGAACAAGGCGTCTTAAATAGATCAAATTTTGTAATAAATACACGTGTGTTTCTCGCCCCCGACGCCGCCATATTGGTAATTAATGGGTACTTTCTCTTGGGATGCCCGTAATTATAGGACGCGTTCTGAATAGGGTAGAGTTAGCGCCTCGATATTATCATAATGCGCCGAAAACAACGTTTAATCCACTGTCAATTAATCACAATTATTCACTATTTACAAATCTTCTGCATTGCTTCTTCGTATACGGTCGAAGATTTCATGTCCAGTTTCATGATTATGTTTCATGTTCTTTTAGCCTAGCCGATGTTTTTCATCCTGTCTCTCCACTGTATTTTTTGTCGCATGTATATGGAATGCTGCAAACTCCAATCTCGTGCGGAATTTTATCTTTGATGTTGACAGGTTTTTGGACAGTTGGTATATCTGGTTTTAACGTTATTTTTATTTATTTATAAATATGTTTTTGCTACAGACTGACACAGCTGTCCAATAAAAAGAAAACACAAAATTTCCCAAATACGATACTTAGTCAGTGGACTAGTTTACATTATTCCTTACAAGCTAAACCGAATTAGGAACCAATTATAGCCTTACATTGCAGTATGTTAATTGGTATACTGTCTTAACTGTCGTTTAAAGGCTTCAAAGCACAGAGCTCTGTTATAAGTACGGGTACATCTGATAATAGAAGAGTAGTTTGAGCGTTATCTAGATACGGAGAACGTTTGGCTGTTTCGAATAATGCAGGGATTACAGTTAAAGTATACTTTTTCCAAAACGAAAGGAGATTCGATTAAATAATTGTCAACTTTATAAATCACTTTGTTCTACGATTTTCCAAAGACCGCATATAATACAAATGAACGTTTTCACTGTAATTAACGGTTTATAGCATTTACAAATTTTCGTTGTACACTCTGTAAAATACACTGGATTCCAGACCGTCGCAGCATATTCCGACACGGGTCTGACAAGAGTATACAAAATATCATTAACGATTTTTTTATTATTAAACCGATTAGTCACTCGTAGAATAAATCCAAGATTCCTTGGAGCCTTTTGAAAAATATATTCTATGTGCATCTCAAAAAGAAGCGCCGAATCCAATCTAATATCAAGGAAACGTTCAGCTGGTAAGTACCAAGGTAAAGATAACTTTTAATTTGCAGTTGTGGTAAATTTTTTTGTAAACAAAATACAGTAAGATTTCTCAGGGTTAACAGATAATCTGTTCTGAGGACAATATTCTTCAAAATTTGGCAAATATTTCTGCAACGAAACATAGTCTGCCGCAAAGTGAACCAATTGTGAAATTTTTACAGGAGAATGGCAAACCATGAGGGACCCAAATGTGGCCCCAATTATATTTTTACTCTTACAACATTTTTTATTTTTTATTTTATCCCACTTACAACAATATACTGAGATCGTCCGTACAAGTAATTCTTAAAGCGACCGAGCAAAACACCGAATAGACCGAAAATCTCCGGATCACGGCAAGAGTTGGGTAGTGTATTTTATCACAAACTTTGGAGAAATCGATGTATACGGCTCAAGTCTATAATATTGTCTGTAAGTCTGTAATATTGTAATAATAATAATAACAATCAGAATAGTCACAATAAATAAAGTTTATTCGCAGAAAATTAATTACAGAAAACATATGTGTATAAATTATATATAATTATCCGCAAACAGGGACTGAAGGCACTTTAGTCAA